CAGGGGATAGTTATAGTGGGTGAAGGCTTTTGAGTGGGAGGTGAGAAGCCCTCCCTCCTTGCATCTCTGCACAGAAGCTGGCTACAACCTCAGCCCTTCTGTTCAAAGTCTGGTATCAGCTAGAGGAAGCAGGTAGGGGTGGGACAGGCCAGGGCCAAGGTCATACAGAGTTGGGCTGGCATGGGGAGCAGCACAAAGTGGCCAGAAGGAACTTCTTCAGTTGACTCTTCTGGGAGGACTGGTCTGTGCCTCTGGGGAATCCTCTGGGGTTACAATACCCTGTTCCCCACAGTGGGTTTGGCAGAAGCTCTGTGTATTGAGCTGTATCCTCTACCCTTTCACCCCCTAGGCACCAAGATGGCACTGAAGTTTGTGAACAAGAGTAAGACGAAGCTGAAGAACTTCTTGCGGGAATTCAGCATCACCAACACACTCTCCTCCAGCCCATTCATCATCAAGGTCTTTGATGTAGTCTTTGAGACTGAGGAGTGCTATGTCTTCGCTCAGGAGTACGCACCTGGAGGGGACCTCTTTGACATCATCCCACCACAGGTACCAGCTGGGGAGCCTCGGGAGGTGTTGTTTGTCCTTTCTCTTCCCCTCCCACTTCCTGGAGCCATCTCAGGGCCTGCTCTTTTAAGGCCTATGGGCCGTATTTACCACTGTCCCCACCTACCCTGCCTTCTTTCCTTCACACAAGGATGTTCTTGCCCAAGGATCCCTCCCCCTGCCACTCTGAGAGCTAGGAGCAAAAGACAGATCCATCCTCATGTGAGCTGGCAGACTAAGGAGGCTCAGGTCTGGCAATTACTTGGAAGAGAGACTTCCTGCTACTCCCATTTAGGAGTACCTTGGTCTGGTTTTCTCCTTTGTGGAGACACTTTGACTTGGGCAAGATGAGTGTGTAACACAATCACCTGTGAGAGTGAATGGGGAGCTGTTGCTTGGGAACATCCCAGATGCAGATGGCTTTGGGACAGCTGCAGGGAGATGTCACTCCTGGGGGCACTTTGCATTTAAATGAGGTGTGAGCTGAGCCCATGAGCACTTGTTGCCTGTTACTGAGCCCATGGCTGCTGCCACAAGAGCAAGGTTATTGCATACTACCTTCGGTTAGTGCAATCTTCCAGCTTAAACTCTTTGCAGATTCAGTTGGACACAATATGTTGCTCCCTGCCCCAAACCCTTAACACTCAATGCTGCTAAAACATTGACATGCCGAGCCCCAGAGTGAGCTGCCATTTCAGCAGTGGATGAAGTGTTCCCCATCTCCAGCATTTCCAAAGCACTTTGGTATCCAGAAAGGTGGTAGGTGAAGATAAGAGATCAATGCCTCTGATTCATTATCCTAATAAAAACAGGGAGGTTTCAGGAGAAAGAGGCTGCCTGGGGTTCTTGATCATGTTTTGATGATGGTGAGCCCAGCTGTATGGATGGATGTGGCTCTGCCTGCTCACCAGACATTTGTCCTTCTGTGCTGAAACAAACAAGGGGTGAGGGGAGAATAAAGGAATGAAAAGGAATAGCTGCAAGAGAATTGAACGAGAAAGGACGACCAAATATAATTAGACATAATTGAATTGGAAGTGTAATGAAATCTTATGTAAAGTCATAGAAGGAAATGTGATTATGTAGTCTCAGCTGGTGCTATGGAACAAGGATGAGACAGGGTGTGAGCATGGCGTGGGGCGAGTCCTTGAAATGCCCTCCTCATGGTGACCCAGGGCAATCTAGCACCAGTGGGAATCCTGGGCCTCCTTCCCCAGTTGTGACTTTGTGAGGCTGGCACTGGTTCCTGCTCTTGGCTCAGGGGAGGGCAGGGGTGCTGTCTCTCCTGGCTCCTGTCTGAGATGTCCTCAGGGGATGAGTTCCAGGGGCACAGATGGGTTTTTGTAGAGGTGAGGAAAATCTCCATGCCACTACCCTTTCTGGGACTCTCGATGCAGGGGGTTGCCCTGCTGTAACCCCCTGTGCTGGGGGCGTGCCTTGTGCAGGAACACCATGCCATAGGGGGCATGTCTGCTGAGGGACCATGTGGTGGTTATCAAGCAAATGACAATCCAGGGAATCATCCTTCCTGACCATCCCCACCGTAACTACACCACTGATGGGGTCTGTTGCCTCCAGGCTTACATTAGCATCAGAACTGAGGCTCAGGGCTCTACCCTCTGGAGGAAAAGATAAATTGGGGCCCAGCTACTGCTGAACTCTACAGCCCCACCTAAGCAGCCTGGCATGGGCATGAGAGATTCATAGATGTTAGGGTCGGAAGGGACCTCAACAGATCGTCGAGTCCGACCCCCTGCATAGGCATGAAAGAGTGCTGGGTTCAGATGACCCCAGCTAGATGCTTATCTAACCTCCTCTTGAAGACCCCCAGGGTAGCGGAGAGCACCACCTCCCTTG